CTGAACCAGTGGATGCTCAACTTAAGAAGACAGAACTGGACTCCTACCGAGACCTCTCGTCTGTGCAGTGAACACTTTGAAAGCTGTCACCTTGGCACTGACTCCAGGGTACCGAGATCTTTTTAAACTTATTATTAACAAAGAAACTTATTGATTTTAAACTGATGAAGTACTATAGTATCCACAATAAAATGCTTAATGTCATCTGTGGCAATTGTATGTGGAATATCATTCTGAAGTGAGGGAGGGAGCTGAAAATTGCATAATTACAATCAGGTTAAGCTTATTATATTTTAATAAAAAGAATAATTTCAATGTTGATTACCTAATACTGTACCTTTGTTGTCTGGGTAGTACACTGTAGAATTTATAAATGCAGTCTTACACACAAATGATTACAGAAAATGCACAAATTTAATGGATAACTGCTATTTTCTGTCTAAATTATTTTTTCCTTTTTGTTTTTACATTTTAATAGGGGAGGACATGTCTGAAAAACAACGCTGTGTCTACCATTTTCATCTTCTTTGAGGACAAAAACCAAGGGCCAGGAGGAAAATGCTTGGTGCTAAGTACAAATGAGGTAAGTGACAAGGGCCTAATTGTTTTAAGTAGTGGTGAGGAGGTTGCAGATGTAGATGACGGTAGCAGTGTCGTAAATCTCATGGATGATCAGAGCAATGATGGAAGACACACCTCAACAAGCCTTTGTTGCTCAAGATGGCATGAGTGATGATGATATTACGCTGATAGCAAATGCAGGGGAAGATGTTGGTCTAGGTAGCAGCCATCAACGCAAAAAAAATCAGAGCAAAAATTGGGCAGCCTTACATCACTCATACATTAGTCCAAAACAGCTGAGTAGCTTATCTCAGGGCGATCACTCTTTCTCACTCTCTTATTCCTCATTCTCTTACTTCTCATGCTGCAGAAGTAAGGCTATGTGCAGCTCAAAAAAAGTTGAGATTGAAAAGCCAGCACACAAGAAGATCCGAGGGCAAACATTTCTTCCATGAAAGGTTTACTTGAAGTGCTTCGGAAGAAACTTCTAATTTCATTTGAATGATGCCTCTCTTCTATCTGGTCTTGAAGATGTTCCCAGAGAGATCTTTCAAAGAATCAAAAAGAAGAAGTCTGTGTTTTCAGAGCATTTGAAACAAATCGCTACAACACTGCACGGCTACTCTCCAAAGTCCTACGACTATGTCAGAGAGAAGTTTCTTTTGGCTTTGCCTCATCCACAAACCATAAAGAAGATGGTGAAGTAGCATCTCTGCAGATCCTGGATTTACTGTTGCTTCTTTCACAGCTCTTAAAAGTCATGTTTCTGATCAGAAGGGATTAGGTAAGGACACACTTTGCTCATTTATGATGGATGATTCAAAAGCAGACTGAGTTTGGGGGGCACCAAATTCACGGCTATGTTGACATCAGAGCTGGTGAAATTGAAAATGATATTGCAACACAAGCATTGGTCCTCATTGTTGTTGCAATTAATGCGTCTTGGAAGATTCCCATTGCTTACTTCCTGATCTACAGCATGACGGGACGAGAGAGCAAGCATCATCCGAGAGAGCTTAATTAGGCTTCCTGCGATCAGTGTTAGGGTTGTGTCATTGACATGTGATGGACCATCTCAAAACTTGGTGCCAATTTGGACCTCATGGACGTGAGATCTTTCTTTTCCATCCTGAAGATAAACAAGTGCACGTCGTCTCAAGGGGAAGGAAATCTCGAATGTACAGAGCTGAAATTAAAACAACAATTGAACTCAGAGCCTGCATGAACGGGGCCCAAGTTTTCCATTAAAAATATGCTGGGATGCTCCTCCAAGACAAACTGAAAATATAATTATTGAAATTGTACGTAGAGCCTTTACAGAGAAAGCGCAGTTTAAACTTCACCACTTAAAGCCCATGTCAGATAAAAACTGAGCACATGAACGACTGGTCAGTATCTTTTAGAGCCTGCATGAACGGGCAGGTTCATTCTAAGATGATGTTGATCTGTTAATCATGATCAGTGTGAGATTCATTTGAGTTATTATGTACATCGTTTGTATTATAGAGTTCATCAACACATGTTTGGATTCTAGGGTTTGATTAAAATGTGAGTTACTTATTTTGGACTTGATTGTTAATTTTGCTGTGGGGAAAGTGTTACTGTTACCTCGTTATATGGTAGATAAATCTGTGGAGTTCATAGTTAAAGTTTTGGAGTTAAGAGTGGGGTTGTTTAACAGGCTCTTCCTATATTTCCTGATTTATTTTGTTGTTAATTTTGTCCCCTTTGCTCACCCTCAGGTTCAGTAACTGTACATATGTTTTCCATTGTTGTGGTGTTTTTTCTTTTCATTTCTACATGTCTCGTGCTGTATAGTTTCTTGTACGTCTGTCCCGTGTTATATGTTCCTACTCTCGGCCTGCACCTTGTCGTGGTGAGTGGGCTTTCAACCAAGACAGGCCATACTGCATGTTTAAAACCAGAGTTTTAACCTCTCATTTTCTCTCTCATGTCGGATGTAGGACACTAGGGAGTTGTGTTTCAATGACCTCGCAAGTGTGACTTTTTATTTTTTATTTTTATATACTTTATTAATCCCCTGAGGGAAATTCTGGTTTACACTTTAGAGACATTCACCTCACACACAAAGGCCCCAATATTATGAATGACATTATGAAAATACAAAAACTGAGAGATAAGATATTTTTTCAGTAATTTTCATTCAACACCAGAATGTCACTTCACTGATGTTTGCTTGTGTTTAGAGGAGAATCCGTCTCCTTACACCGCTGTACGATGAACGTCTTCACTGTACGGACAGTTTGATGTATTTTTTATTGCATCTAATGATGTCAGTCTGGGATGCCTGTTGAGAAGCTTTGTGAGATGTGTAGCTCAAAAAACCTCCTTATTAATCTGATACTGGAGTCAGGAAAAAACCCTAATTGTCAGCCTCTGCCTGAAACGCTTTATTTCAGCTGCTGTCTGTTTTTGTGTTTGTTTTTGTCGTCTCTATTGCATGATGTACACTTGTCTTTATTTCGAGATGGGACAGTGGATGGAGTCAGAAATTGGGGAGAGAGAGAGAGTGGGGAATGACATGCAGGAGAGTCTGGACGACCTTTGAACTGGGAGTTTGTATTGTTGTAGTGTGTTGTTTTTTTATCCTTGTAAAGCTGAATCTCCCGTCTAAACAACATATGTACCTTTTTAGTTTCTCATAAAGATTATTGTAAAAGAAAGCAGGAGGAGATCTTATGGAAAGAAAATACTACTTAAACATGTACAGGAAGTAAAGAGTACGCTAAGCAGTCAATTTCCTTTTAAAAAGAAACCCAGAAACAAAACCTTATTTGCTGTGAGAAGCAACAAGCAGTAAAACCACCTGTGAAATGACGGAAGTGGTCAGGTGATATGTTCTTGAGAAATGCTGAGGTATGTGAACACACAACAAATCTCCTTCCTTCTAACTTTAGATTCTGGTCCTGTAATGGTCTGGATTTGTTTGGACCAGAGAAGGTAGGCCATCTGGGTCCATAATACTGCTGTTTAGGAAGTAAAGGGCAAGAAATTCTTCATCATCAGAGCATCAGTGCGCGCTAATTAGCTACATTAGCTCGTTAACGTCACCTGATGATTGTATCAGGATCACAGTCTGCTGTCACTGTCAGTGTTCTGAGGCAGTGTTGTTCATTGAAGGCAGGAATATTTAGATCAAGTTAACACATTCTTTGATGTCAGGATGAGGAGGACTCGGTTCTTTTGTTCCCTCACAGGGACAGCGGAGCGTCTCTTGGGTTTTCTGTCTCAGATTAAATGTTGTGGAAGAACAACCCCAGGCTTGTCTCCTCGTCCGTTAGTACATCACATTCACAACAACTTTCCTTCATTTGAAAAATGTAAAAATAAAACTGATGAAGACACATAAGTGGAAACTGAGCCCAAGAACTTCTCCGTAACCTACAGTGGTAGAGAGCTTTTCTTGCCCGCCAGGTGGGCGGTGTGATGTGACATGATAGCTATGAATAGCTGTGTGATCTTAAACTCAACATGAATTGCAGAAACAGCTAAGAGGCTAATAAAGTTAAAGTATAATAAAGTTTATTTCTGTGGAGGAAGGCTAACTTCAACCTTGGGAGTTACAAAGATCCCCATTTTCCCCCTTACTAATGTAAGTCAAGAAACCAACTCCCTGCAAACAGTTGAAAAGCCATGCAGTCAGCTTTAAACAGCAGCCCGTGACATGTTTTAGTGGGCTGTAGCTTGCAGGTTATTGTCTTTCTCACATGCATGACGCAGGGTTTTGCTGTGAGCATTCTGTGGTTGTTAAAGGAAGTGAGGGGGCTTTTTACCAGACAAATGATGGCCCAGTTCCCACCTGTGTGCAGTTAACCCTTTTGAAGGGTTACTCATCTGCACGCTATCACTGTGAGATATGTGCAAGCTTTCTGCGCACAACAGAGCGAGGGATACCATGGGTGACGATATAGAAGAACAACATCAGGCCCACTAACAACCTAGCGTTTTTTTCCCAGCAAAAAAAAAAGAGAAGTGCTGGATGTGCGCTCGGGAGTGTTTGCATGAAGTGTTTGTGTGCTGAGAAGAATAAGAGCTGCACGTTCCTCCTGTCCCTATGACAATGTCCGCTGTATCACTAATAGACCTGTGACCCTCCTCTGGCTCGGTCACCTCAATTCCAGCGCAGCAGAGTTCAGATCCAGCCTCAGAAACCCACTCTTTATCACATCCTGCATTCTTCTATCACCACCACCACCAGGGGTCTAGACTCCAGGAGGAGGGGGTGTATCCTATCCTGCTACCCCTCTGAGTGCATGAAGTCATCTAACTGTTAATATTAACTCTGACTTAAGTCTCTCCTGATTGACAGATCATGCTTCATGAGATGGTCCGTCTATGTCGACCTGCTGCTCTGTGGGGAGAGAGGGAGAGACCTGCTCAAGGTCATGTTATGTAAAATACAATTCAAAGAACACATGTTGATGTAAATCTTTTAATGTTTTCGCTGTGCTTCAACATCAAGGTGAACATTAGTCACTTTCCTATTATATGTACAAATATATGGGAAGTAAAATGAATGCACTTGAAATTCTGTTTGAGAATCACTCATCTACTTTTGCAGCTTTGCAGTTAAGATTGCTGTAAAATCCGAGACTCTCCAAGACATACACGACCTTACAGTCACTCAGTTTTCCTTTACACTTCTTCATCGAGCACTTCTTCTGGATCATAAACATCTCATAGGGGGGGATAAGCACCTCTTCCTCTTTGTCTTGTAGGCGAGGATATTTTTTCAGGTAAACACCGTGACAGGTCTGAATTAGGAAGCAGGTCTCGGTACCAAAGTGAGTCAGTTTTGGATTGAGAGAGCTGGAGGCAAACGAACCAAACCGAATCATTTGGTTACGTTTGCCAGTAAACTGGGTGTGGGATCTGCGGTAACTGGTGAGGCATTTTTCATTCTTTTTAAGTATCTGAATGGCAGATGTAAGCCAGAAATGTAAAGAGTGAAACTGGAAGGTGGTGCTATATTCAGATCTGTTAGTTCGGACTGCAGCGTTGAATAGTTCAAACAGTTTTTCTTGACCAGCTGTGTAGACACAGATAGCTTGAAAATGTTCCTCAGTTAGAGCCTCATCTTGTTTGTCCTTAAGCTGTATGTTCTTACACCTCTTTACACACTTGTCAGCTGATTGCCAGGCCCTTTGGAAGATCCCTTTGTTCTCTTTCTTGAAGTATTTAGTCTTGACCTTGTGACTCATCTGTGCTTGGCAGGAAGCGTACATGTCATCGACAGAATCTTTAACCATGCTCAGCGGGACGGCACCAGCAGCCTCGCGCTGACTGAAGATGTGACCGACCTAGAGGGGAAAGAAAGAAGAAATGTTCACTCTGTTAAAAACACAACTGACCATGACTGATGAATACTGAAGAAACTGTTCCATTGTAAGTCCTGGATCAGTCTTTATTACTACTGTCTTTCAAACAACTGGGGTGTGCGCACCCCATGTACAGACGCTAAAGTCCTCGAGATCAGACAGCCCAGCCTGTGGCTACTTTCCCGCATGTCATTCCCCTCACTCTCTCTCCCCGATTTCTGACTCTAGCCACTGTCCTATCTCTAAAATGAAGGCATAAAAACCCCCAAAACATCTTCCAAAAAAAAAAAAAAGATAACTAATGGTGCAACACTAAAAGTGCTGCAGGTGTTTGCTTGTGCTTGAAGGTGTGAGGTTAATATGTTTTGTTCTGTGAGTGTCAGTATACACAGTGGAAGGGATCCTCTTCATGTGGGTCACAGAGGCTGCAGACTGCAGAGACAAACATTTATCAGACATGGCAGCACTGCATTGTGTATGCATGTGCGCATTTAAATCTCTCCATTGTTCGCTCGTCTTTGTTTTTAAAGTAGACAAACGAGAGAGAGAGAGAGAGAGAGAGAGAGAGTGCATATTGTTGTAAGTCAAGCAGCTCTGACAGGCTGCCGATGCTCGGGTGGGTGAGGAGGGACTGATCCTTCTCCCCCTCTCATTTTTTTCATTCCTCCATCTTTTTTTGTATTCATCAGATAACATCTCCTGCCTCTCCTTCCCTTTGTCCTCCAATTTCGCCACTTAATCTGTTCCTCCATTTTTGTGCCAATTGTTCCCAAAGCGGCAACTTCCTCTTCTGTAAATTTAAGCCTTGTTACTGAAGCAGTTTCATAATGAACACTGACGATTAAAGTCTGCAAGAACTCCTGACAGTGAATTACTGATCTTACTCTACAAGGAAGGAAGTAGTTTGTCTCATGTTCTTATCTCGAAATTAAGATTATCCTATTAAATCTAGTTTAATGGATTTCTAGAGATTCTCAAGAGGTTCAAATTTAACGAGTTTGAACGAACCACTCACCTTCTTGGAGCCCGCAGGCTGCATCCAGAGAAGCAGCAACAGAGGAGCCAAAAGGCGGAGGATGAACTTATTCATCACTGCAGTTAGGCAAACAGCTTCTAAAAGAACACACACACACACAACACACACGCACATGCACACGCACGCACACACACGCACACACACACATCAGCCATTATAATTGAATAATGTCATGAAATAAATGTTCTTTTAAAAGTTTTTCTGTCGTGAAAAATTACTCACCGGTCTACAAAAGAAGAAGCAGCCCTCGGTTCCAAACCAGAGAATGAGCTGTGATCTAAATTACACATCATACTCTGGTCCCAAACAGGTTAACATATACGAAAACCACACACATACACAGAGAGAGGCGGGGTTAAAACATGCATGTTAACACCTACTGAGTACAAATGAAGTCATGAGTGAGTGCTTGTAACATTGTGGGTCCCGAGGTGAGCGTGCTGTTTCCTATCAAGGAAATGAGGTTTCACTTATACCATACCCACCATGTGTTCAGCTAACGGCTTCTCAGATGAACTCGATGTGTAACAAACCTGAAGCTCAATATGTGACTCATGAACCAACTATTACTACAGCAAGCAAGGAGAAATATTTGTTTTAAGAAAATAGTGGCACATAATGGTATTATTCAAAGATCAAGATTTCTAACCCAAAGATATGTTTCATCTATGTTGGACCAAAGTTAAAGGAGATCTTTTAAACTCACTTTCACCATTAATGATTCCAAAGGACCAGTACTACTGTGGAGTTCTGTATTTCACTGGAAGTGATATCTTCAATAAAAACACGAGAACTCATGCTCTGGAGAAGGGCTTCACTCTTAATGAGTACACAATAAGACCACTTGGAGTCACTGGCATGGCAGGAGAGCCTCTGCTGGTGGATAGTGATATCGATAATGATGTCAGTCTGGGACGCTGGTGTCAGAGTTACATATTGCTCCTTTAACTTTTCTTTTTATCCAGCAGAAAAGACATAAAACGCAACTATACAAGACTTTGTAAAAGCCTCTGCGGTGTCTTTAAAATAGAAGTCATGTTTTTTTAATGTTTTCCCCTCATGTCAGGGATGTGGCCCTCTCTTTCTCTTCATTTGCTTCCAATATTTTCTGCCACCACTACATGCATGGTGCAACTGCCGTGACGTTATTGTGACGTCTACTCAAAACTGGTCATAAAAAGGTGTTTAAGACTTTGATTGACACCTTTGACAACAAATGTGGCTCCTGTTACACTCTGCGATGGATTAGCAAAAAGCGAGATTACACCCAACTTGCACTTTCAATAACCACAAGTGTCTGCTTCAACCAGACTGCTGTGGACTACCAACCTGAGGGATCTTTGCCTCTGCAGGTGTTGTATTTCAGTATATCTCCAGCAGATGGCAGCATTGTCCAACAAATTGGCTCCTGATGTTGGGTTGGGTTTTCAGGTAAAGAGGTAAGCCAGATAAGAGAAAAGACATCAGGCTACCGCAGGCCCAGAAATGAGAAGAGAAACAGAAGAGCAAGGTGTGAAGATTCTGCAAAGACAGGAGCACAGAGCGAAGTCTGAGGGCAGACAAACAGGGATTGTGATTGGAGGAGGACATTTGGTTTAGCTGCAGAGTGAGGGGAGCTAGGGAGATTTATACAATATGATGTTCAGTATCAGGAGAAAAGATAAAAGGTTCATTAGCATGGAGAACAACAGCTGCTTTCATTGTGGAGAGTGCTTGATGCTAAAGCCAAACACTGAACAATAAAACTAGAACACAATGACAGGAACCGGTTGAATCAGTTTCACTTTATTCAACTTCAAAGTTAAGATAATGTTTTGTAAGCGAGAATAAAGATGACGTCATCACAATATCACACGTTTAAAAGATAATGTGTTGTACTGTATTGTTCTTTTTATAAGATAGTGATCATAATGAGCTTTAGTACTGAGTCCGTAGTTTGCCACTTGCACGATAAATAAACCTAAAATAGTAGAAACGCTCAGGATGGAAATCTCAAATGTTGTCATAGCATTATACTGTTTTACTAAAGGTCAGTCGTGTAGTGGTGGATGAAGAAGTGGGTACTCTTATTTTTTCCCCAAACTGATTTATAAATGGCCCGTCCAGCAGAGTATAAATGACCTCTGTTATCAAAAGTGACATGTTTCAATCTGCTTCTGTCATTCCTTTTGTCTTTTTGGTGTTTTTATATTGACTTTTCCTCTTTCTTCTGTGATTTCTTGCTGCTTTTAAATTGTTCTAATTTGTATAATCTGTAGAACTCCTGTATTGTACTCCTCACATTTCTCTATTTTATTTTTTTGTAAAGCACTTCGTAACCGTTTTGAAAAGTGCAATATAAATAAAGCTTATTATTATTATTATTATTATGTAAAGCCCCCGTGTCCACCTAGCATTTTTTTTGTGAGCGCCAGCGTCTTTTTTCAGTTGTTTTCAATGAGAAGAGAGCGTTTGGAGCTGAAATCGGCTGCCCGGAAAAAAAGCTCAGTGCCCTGCGCCTTTTTTTACGATGGCTCCCGCTTCTTTGTGCGGCCTCTCCGAGCGCTCAAGTTGAAAATCTTTCAACTTTTCAGAAAAGCGGTGTTGACGTCACGGGCGCTCTTTTCCAAATGTATGATATTCCCCCGTAGTTTTGCTGCCCACAGATCGTGTCTTGTACTCGCATCTTCCTCGCTCCGTGTCTGATCGGGAAATAAACGATCTCAATTTTAAAACATGCAGTAAAAAGTAACGGAGCAGTGTCGGTCATACAGCGGCCGTTGTCATGTTCTCTGTGAGCTCATAACGGCTCAACAGAACATGCAGGACTCTGAAGTTCCACCTGCTCAGTCCCCTATCATTCTTTGGAGAGTAAGTCACCTTTTCTCCTGCTGAAAGAAAGACTTTTTAATCCACCTTTTTCTGCTCACTCAAACTGTTTTATGATGGAGGAGGAGAACATTTATTCTCCCTGGACGTTGTTCTTTCAGATAAATGACTTTTTTCATCAGTTCTATTTGAAATATCACGACTGTAAAGATGTGAAGTGATCTTAGTAAAGTGTGAGCAGGTTGTAAATCTGTCAAATGTATTTTATTTGTTGTCTAAACTCCTTTATTTTCCTGAAGTTTGTTGTGTTCTCGTTGTGTGTGAAATCAGCTGATTGTGATGAGTTAAAAAAGTCGAGTAAAGTCTGAGTTAAAAGCAAGTTGATTCTCTGAGAAATGACCGCTGTGTGTGTGTGTGTGTGTGTGTTTGCAGTTCATCAATATTGGAAGTATTTGGAAAGTATGTTCATTTTATTTGGAAGCAAGACATCAGTACAAACTCTGTCTCCTGGAGATCTGGACTTTTCCAGAGGCCTGGAAGAGTCCAGAGGAAGGGGTGAGAGACCTTCCTCTCCAGGAGACATCGAGCAGTCCACCACCATCATCAAAGGGACCAAACGGAGGGGTGAGAGACCTCCGTTTGGGTACAACATCCACCCGTTTACTCGGTGAGGACTCCGAGCGGAGGGGTGAGAGCCCTCCGTCTCGTCGAGTGAAGCCTTCTGCCACCATCAAGGAGCCCAAAGGAGGGAGGGGTGAGAGCCCTTCGTCCTGCGGAGAAACGATCCCCTTTATGAAGGACCAGGCAGGAGGGGGTTAGAGACTTGGAAGATGGTGATGACCCTTGGAACTCGGGTCAGGGTGTTATAAGCCCAGGAGGCCTTGTCCCGGCAGCAGACGGAGCCCTGAATCTGGTCGGGAAACTACCCGACGTCCCTGACACCCAGCCTCTACCATCGGACTGTGTTGTCGGCCGTCCTCAGTCATGCACGCCCTGCTCTGACCTCCACCTCAGCGGCAACGAAGTGTGGACGACAGGAAGAAGACGACAAAGAAGAGCGGAGACACACAAGAAGAAGAAGAAAGTTGTTAAGCTCTTTAAAGTGACAGAAACAGTTTTCTACTCTAAAAGGTGAAGTGGTGAAACTAATCTGTCTTTATCATTAACTAAACAAAGATTCACTTTTACTCTGGGGTTAAAACTCATTTAAACTCAGACAAAAACAAAAAAGCCACTCATTGTACCAGGAAGATTAGACATGTGATGCACTCTGCAGCCTCTAGAGGGTGACATTATACTGTAAACCAGCTCCTAACCTTATTTCCTTTTCCTTTTAGCCCCTGCCCCACCATTGTATGTCTGAAAAGCTGAGCCCCAAGTTATCAAGTACGAGCTGTAGATAAACTGTAGATAAACAGTAGATAAGATAAATGTTAGCTGGCAGCCTCCCCATTGGCTACAATCCATATTGGAAATCACATATATGGAGATGTCAGTCGCAAAAATGCACAAGGCTAAACAATCAACCATCAGTGCCTGGGCTGACCTTGCAGAAAAAGTGAAAGATATTCTGCTTTCATCTGTTGGATCATAAACTCTATGTGTTTACTGATATGCAAATTCTACCATACAACTCTCAAAGCATTGAACATGTATGTATGTATTAAATATGTTGTATGTTTTTCTCTTCCTTGTAAATCCTTACTACTAAGGCCTGTTAAATTATTATTTCTACTGCCACCTGGGGTAGGGGGGTGAATTGTTGTCTTTTGTTTGTGTATGATGTTTATAAGTCTTGTTAAGGTGGGATACCTGCAACTACATGAATGACTTTGAGATATTGGATGGCCAGTGTGCACATGTTGCTGATGAAACACAGATGCAGGGTTTTTATTTGAAGCCTCTCTTCTGAAAAAAAATAATGCTGAAAAAGGTGTTGCAGTTCAGTATATCTCCAGCAGATGGCAGCATTGTCCAACAAATTGGCTCCTGATGTTGACTTTCCTGTTCTGTTCTCAGCACTGCTCTTCTGTTTACAAACCTGTGTGTGTGTGTGTGTGTGTGTGTGTGTGTGTGTGTGTGTGTGTGTGTGTGTGTGTGTGTGTGTGTGTGTGTGTGTGTGTGTGTGTGTGTGTGTGTGTGTGTGTGTGTGTGTGTGTGTGTGTGTGTGTGTGTGTGTGTGTGTGTGTGTGTGTGTGTGTGTGTGTGTGTGTGTGTGTGTGTGTGTGTGTGTGTGTGTGTGTGTGTGTGTGTGTGTGTGTGTGTGTGTTGGTGTTTGCTAAATGTGCGGCTGTGTCTGACCCCTGAGGAATTTAGATGAATTTTTTATCCACAGTTGAGGCAACACAGGTGGAGGAGGCAGGTGATAAAAGGCAACGTCGGGGGTGGAGGGGTGGGTTGGTTTTTCAGGTAAAGAGGTAAGCCATCAGTCAGACAAAAGACATCAAGCTACCGCAGGCCCAGAAATGAGAAGAGAAACAGAAGAGCAAGGTGTGAAGATTCTGCAAAGACAGGAGCACAGAGCGAAGTCTGAGGGCAG